CACTACACACTATTTAATAATATTACAGCAAAAAACGAAGAAAAATCAGACATTGAAACAATTAGATAATTATCTCTTTGTGGTCACTCCTTCCCGACAGCTGGCGCTGAGCAGACCACCTTCCGACGCATGCAGAGTCAGCGCCTCTTTTTTGCCAGACTTCCCTGCCCTATAGCTGGCAAAATATTCCACTTACGATTTTTTTATGATTTTTTCCGTGATCAGGGAACACAAATTAACAGATTTAGATGATTTTTTTTTTTATGCGCCTGTGGGTGACAATCGCCAAATAACCCTTAACACTATCGCGTGCTTTGGACACCGATCACGTCCACTTTTTTTCTCTTTAGTCCTAGCCGTGGACACGACTCGCGTCCACTCCAAAAATATATGTATAAAATTCATTTTTTATCCAATCGACCTCGGGATAGTTTCAAAATAAGCGCCTTTAGAATGTGCACATTTAATACCAAAATGAAAGATGTAACACGAAACTTTGTCAGAACACTTGAAAGATTATAAATACTTTTTGGGTCTAAATTTTAAATTTTAAAATATTTGTTAAAATTCTACTTATTGTGCTATTATTAGGGGACTAGTTTTAACACTTTCGCGCTTTAGATTAGAGATAACTCGTCGCCGTTTTCTCTTATGATTCTGCATAACAGCCGAGTTTTCTCGTCCATCGAAAAAATATTTCTATAAATTCCATTTTTTAACCGAAATGGATGGGGATACTTTTGTTTTGTAGGGAATTTATTTGCGAATGTTTTGGTACCAGAATGAATATTATATCACAAACTTCTATGAGTAAAAAAAAAAATACACAAAGTATGTTTGGGGGTGTGGCGAGCGTGTGGCAGTGGGTTCCCTTTAGCCGTTGATATATCCAACACGTGGGAAATATTTGTATGTGTTATGTATATGTCTGTGTAGGGAATTTTACTGCGATCACTGTCATACAAATTATAAAATGTTTCAACAAGTATAAACATGACAAACATCAAACGAACGAAAACAATGCGTTCGTTTCTGCCGCGAACGCATACTGAGCGACGTGGTTCTATATTTGGCGCTTCTCTTACACATGCTTTGTACAAATGTTATACAGTTCATCTTATAGAAAATTTTATTGCGAACACATTGGTATAAAAAAGAAATACGTACATAGAAAAGTAGGGTCAGGAAACGTATAAACTTTCCAAGCATGATTTCCCCCGTGTTTTCGCCAGTGCGCTCGCGGCTAACTACTCTCCACTTCACACACTCTTGCGGGTGGGCAATTACCTATATTAAACATTCATATGCATATGTCCGTGTAGAGAATTTTATTGCGATTCCAATGATACCAAAATTAGCGATGTAGGACAACTGTAGGCTTCGCAACCATTAAGAGAGTGGAAACATTTTGTTGCTGTTTGGCGCTCTCGGCGAGTGATCTGCATAGTTTTTTATTTGGTGTTGATACTCCTTATGCTTGGGCGGCATTTTATAGGTATGCTCTTATAGACAATTTCATTGCGAACACAGTGATACCAAATTTAAATACGTGCGCCTTCAATTATTGTCAGGACAGTCAAAAGAGTGTACACTTTTCGGTCTTACCGCGTAGGCGCGCAAAGTGCCGAAAGCATCTGGGGTATTGTTTTTTTTTGAGCGCTGAGAGCGCGAAAGTGTTAAAATGTGCACCTTTATATTGCAAACAATTTGATGCCAAAACGAGCGATGTAACACGAAAATTAATGTTATCAAACTGAACGAGTATACACATTAAGTTGTGGTGTGCAAATTGGTGCTCGTTCACGGGTAACTTTAGGCTTTGCTGCGGGAAGTCTCGCCAGGCTTTTGGATATTACAGTATATGCATATACACCTGCAGGGAATTTAACTGCGAACACAATGATACCAAAACGAACGACGTAGCATGAGACTTAAGGTGAGAAAACCAAAACGAGTACTGTATACACATTTAGGCGTCGCCGCACGCTCGCCCGCACCGTCCGCCCCATGACATCATAGTCTGCGGCGCTCACGCACCACGCACGATACTGTTAACACCACAAGGGTTAACACTTTCGCTGCCTGATGCCGCAATACGAGGCATAAAACAACACCCAGAGTTTGTGCTGATGCAAACTGTCATAAATTTAAACATTTAAAACAAAAAAATCAACCTATTGTCCAAATATGGGACTTATTTTAAAATGCGAGCCAACGTCTTCCCATTCTCTTTTTACCCCACGTGGCATCCCGACCCCGCCGTAAGGGCATCCACCCACGCTGGAGGCTTACTGTTCTCGTGACCTCACTCATGACAGACAGCAGCGGTCTTCCCTAGAGTCAAAAAAGTTTCCTCATTCTGGTTATTTTATGTCAGGTATGTTCTTGTTACATACTTTTGTGTATTTTTGTGTATTAGCCAAGAAAAATTGACTTCAAGATGTATAGTAATCAAGAACAAAGCCAATCCATGATGAAAGCAGTGAAAGACACGTATGAGAGAAAAGATATAGTGTGTTTGTCAAAAGTATAGAAAAGTGAGATTTTTATGTTCTTATATGCAAATATCCCTTCACAGCATTCTATTGCAAACGATTTGATACCAAATTGAATGACGTAGGACGAAAATTGAGGCAAGGAAACTGAATAGAGTAAACACTGAAGTGGATTTGTGTGTTCACAGGTAATGCTCGGCCTACCTTGCGGGGTGCGGCGGGTCACTGGTCGGGCCAGCGGAAGTGTTAAAAAAACAAAAATCGTGGGTAACATTCGCGGGTGTGAGAGCCTCAGTACTGAGTGAGCAACCAAGGCTGCTGCACGCAGCATGAGCTAACAGCACTACTGTTCAGCTTGTGACCACAGCACCACCTAAAAATTTTAAAATATATATATGTAACTGCTATTATTTAGCCATGATAGTATTATTACAGAAGAGCCTGGCTGTGATAAAGACTGTATAATGTTCAGATATCAGTGAACACAATGCTGTTAAAGATGTTCACAGCGCTAGCCACAGCACAATGTCATTATTTGGTCCATCTAAGAATCTTGAAACAACTTCTCATGTTCCTTTGCAAAATAAACTTGTGGAAAATTATTCATTTACAGGATTTACTGACCACGATTCTGATAATAGCAGCATTGTGTCGAGAATTAGTGATGTGTGGGGGGGGGGGAGGAATCTTTGTGAGGGAGGGGGGGGGGTGTCGTAAGCTGAGTGTGCCTGCCACTGCCACCACGTCAATTTCAAAACTGACCAATTCCCTTCTGGCTCTCCTAACTGCCTCCAAATTTACCTAGGAACTCTGCTGCATTTACAAGCATTCTTTCTTTTAAATCTATTGACATCCTTGCATTTATGGTGAACCACTAATTAACCTTGCTCTTCTTTTTAGATCATTTATCACTACCGCTGAATGAGGTAGAAAAGATACTCCGTTTTTCACTAACAACGATTATTAATAACCTGCAATTCCTAAACAAACCAGGTTATTCCTAAACAAACCAGGTTATTCCTAAACAAACCAGGTTATTCCTAAACAAACCAGGTTATTCCTAAACAAACCAGGTTATTCCTAAACAAACCAGGTTATTCCTAAACAAACCAGGTTATTCCTAAACAAACCAGTCACTATAATGCATTTCTTGATATAAATTGTTAAATGTAATAGGGAAGACAATGGTACAGGCCCTACAGAGGAAAACTGCTAACAAAAAGGGCAATATAAATTTAGAGGAAAAAATAAAGATATAGCAACATATAACGTTCCGCACAAAAAGCTGGTAAATACAATGGAGAGGCAAGGTGGGATAACTAATAAAACCCCAAACCAGATTAAGTAAATATTTTACAAGACTAGTCAGAAGTTAGGATGAGACACACAAGTGGGGTCTTACAGTGATTATGGGCCCAATGCTGCTTCTACGTAAATAACTAAATGAAGGAAGTGCATTCATGCATATTTGCAGACGACACGAAGTAAATAAAAAAAAAAAAAAAAAAAAAAAAAAAAAAAAAAAAAAAAAAAAGGGGGGGGGGGGAGTAGTGCTGCAGGAAGATCCTGACAAGCTCCAACAGTGGGTAGTCTGGCCAATCACACTGTTAGATGCAGATGCTCAGTCTAGCGTATGAATCACAGCCATGTTAATCGGCTATCTTTTGGAGGTGTTTATGTTCTGAGAGTGTGTGTGTGTTATATTTGGCCCCTTAATGTTGAAGCATTCTCAACATACCTAATGCACCTTTGCTTTTTAACAGGGCTATTTTGCACTTCCTGCCATGTCTCTTGGTCTCATGAGGAGTTAATTCCATGTGTAGATTTAGAACCAGTCCCTCTACTATTTTCCAAGCGTAAATTATTCTCTCACCTATGCTTTAGAGAATACATATTTAAACATTTTAAAGGATCCCAAAAACTTAAGATGTTTTATCAAGTGGGTTTGGGCAATAAAAGAACTCTGCACAGTCTCCAACTTTGAATAGGGCTGTCAGTGTGCAACAATGTTCCATCCTTGAGAACAATATCATAAAATTTATCATTGCTTTGGGATCTTGCTTCAAAAGTTCTTATTATCCGCCCTGTTATTGTTCTCGCAGCTATGACACCATCTTTATTGTACTCACCTAATTGTGCTTGCGGGGGAACACAATGCTTGCATTGTGTTCTTTAACACAATAAAGTAGTTGTCATAACTGCAAGTAGTCTTCTCACATGATAACTCCAAAATATATTATACTATTGCTTTTTGCTCTATGGTGTAATTGCCATGTTTATGAACAAAGACCACCAATATTTTATGGTGAAAATATTTTAGCTAATGTAAAAACTTTATACTGCTTCCTCTTCTCTGTGCCAAGATAATGCTAAATTTTTCCCATAGAAACATGCAAGAAAATAGGAAAACCCCTATTTGTGGGAACGATATTATTGCTGGCTGTAACTTAAAAACAAACATACAGGTAGACTGAAACCCCAAACTATCTGCAAACTTTCACTTACCTATTAATGAAGACATTAATGTCATGCTTCAGTATCTTTTGAACCTTTGCCTTCATCTTCTCCTTCTCTGCTACTTCAATTTCAGCAACCTAGGTAAGTAACAAGCAAATATATCAAATTGTCAACCACAATAAATGTGGTTAATTTCATTCAGTTGGTCTTTAGACGCCTCGAACCTCCGGCCCCCAGAGAACGAAATGGTAGCTCTATCAACCACACTATGAACAGCCACAATAAGGAAGGATTCCAGAGGCAACTAATTGCTGTTCAACTAGAACTTGAAGCCTTCCCTGGGATGTAACTCAAACATTGTAAAGAGAAGGTATGTCATGACATGCCCTGCAGCAATATTAAGCTTTCACTTCTTCAAACCATTATTTCTAGCTACAATAATATATATAGATTTTGTCTCGACCACAATCCAAATGAAACGTATGTAAAACACTAAAAATAATTTTCCCACCTTAGCTGTGGATTCAACAGAGATTTTCGAGCCAAAAACTTTGATTTTGTCTGTGTCCATTGGAGTGTTGGCAATGAGAAGTTTGGCATTTTCAATACGTTTGGGCTGGTTCACACCAATCTTCTTCTCCAAGATGAACCCTAAAATAGTAAACCCATCATAAATTATCAGTTCATCATATTCGTTTATTATTTTGACATACTTTGACAATATATAGGTAAAAATAATTAAAGAAAGAAATGAGATACATACATGTAATTGTGTATGAATAAACTATCTTTACTTATATACATACAAGCTGGCTAAAGAATTAAAATATTTGCCCAGTAGTTATTACACCATAGCATATCAGGCTACAAAAGCTGATTTAGTTGCTTAGGCTTCCACATACTACATTGTTTTGAGCAGAAATTGTCCATGACAAAAACTACAACCTGTACAGCAAGCTGCTATCTTTCAGAATGACTCTTGGAACCCTCAAACACATCATTTATATGTAAATGTACTTTTTTACATTTAATGCCTTTATGTTCATCTTTGGTAAAAGATGCATACAGTACATATAATTAAGTACACAATGAACCAATCGGCAAGCATGAGAATAAATATATTTTGTAAATTCAAGCAGGTACACGTAGACTTTGCAAAAGCTTTCGACAAACATGACCACGGTGTTACTGTATTGTGCACAAAGCTTCCTAACATTGAAAGAGACTTCATTCAACATCAAATGCCAAAGACTTTTAAACACACTCCCATAAGGGGCACAACTGGCCGGACTCGTACAGTATTCAAGAGAACTCTTGAACCTTCAAAGAATACCCGATCAAGCAGGCTGTGATTCATATATCAGGCTGTGTTTCGTGTATCAGGCTGTGATTCGTGTATCAGGCTGTGATTCATGAACCTGGCTGCGATTCGTATATCAGGCTGCGAGCAGCCGCATCCAACAGCCTGATCAACCAAACCACTAACCAGGAGACCTGGTCAGAGACTGGGGCACAGGGACATTTATCGTCTAAAACCCTTCCTTTCAAACCCTTTGAGGGGGGGGGCTGTACAGACGAGCTGCGCGGCATGTGATGTTTGCTCATTTGCCCGTTTCCTTGGGTGTTTGGAGTTCTGCCACCCTGTTCGGTCTTCGGTTGCAATTTTCTTACCAAGTGGGGTTTGTTATGTTAGGCCTATCTTTCAGGGTGCCTAACTCCAGTCGATGGCAGACAAACAATACTGCCAACCACAGGGGAGAGGGGGGGGGGGGGTTCCCCAGAGGTTATTCTTGCCTCTCTGAAGGGGCCAAGATCTGGCTCGTGGTCCCCGGTAGGTGGAACTCCATTGACTAATGCCCCAGACAAATATTCACATACAGTACTGTATTAGCCTGATAGCTCCAGGGAGACAAAGGGGCTCCTCACAGAAAATTGGAGTTTTTCTTATTCAAAATGTAATAAAATTTGGGTTGCATTTGACAACAAACACATCACTTCTGCATGAATACTTATTGCTGTGTATTGAGGACAATGACGTACTGAATTAATTTGCTACTTTAATAATGTAGAATACAATCAAGGTGTTTAATTATTTTAAGAATTTTTCCATGGTATACTGTACTGTATGGAAAAAATTACAAATTTTTATTACAGTACTGGATATGTAATCATCTTGCAATAATGCTTATTTGTTGTAATTCTTTTGGAAGTGTGAGAAACTCGCTTGTCTTAAACTGTGACCCTATTGTAATCATCTATATAGTAATTACTTTTCCCATAAAAACCATGTAGCCATTTATTACAAAATTTGTCCTATCAAAGTGCTGCTCTTCATTATTTTCTCTAGTAAAGTACTTTACGCGAAATGCATATCAAGCGACACTGCTGTGGGCCCATAGAGCCACTGGGCACATTGCTCAATTTCCATATTTGCAATTTAAATAGAAATCATTTTTTTTGCTTAAACTTTAGTACAGTATTCTTATTAATGAAGTCATATGATGAAGCATTCGGGTACTGAACGGGAACCTGTTAGAATTAGAACGTGCACACACAACACACTCCAAGAGAGGAGACACGGAAAAGGCACTTAACTATAGACAAGTATCGCTAACAAACATTCCCATAAAGTACTTGAAAGAATAATCAGGTTAACCCATAAACTGCACAACGTGCCAGCAGGCCCACGTCTGGGGTGCACAATGCACCCCCAGGTATTTTTATTTTTAGTGCTCAATTAAAAACTCCTGCAGCTACATGGGGTTCACATCAGTTTCCTCAGGGCTCTTGTAAACAGACACCATCTTTAAAAAAAATCGTGGGTCACATTCCTGGGTGCGAGAGCCTCAGTACTGAGTGAGCAACCAAGGCTGGCGCATGCAGCATGAGCTCACAGCAATGCTGTTCAGCTTGTGACCACAGCATCGCCTAATAATGTCAAAATATATATATAACTATTATTTAGTCATGATAGTATTACAGAAGAGCCCGAGTGTGATAATGACTGTGTACAATGTTCAAATATCAATGATTCAATGCTGTTCACAATGTTCACAGTGCTAGCCACAGCACCACAGCATTATTTCGTCCATCTAGGATTCTTCAAATGACTTCCTAGGTTCCTTCACAAAATAAACGTGTGGTCAATTATTCATTTACAGGATTTAGTGACCAGTATTGTGATAACAGCAGGATTGTGGTGATAATTAACACTGTGCGTAGTATTGTGGTAGGAGGAATTGTGGTGAGGGAGCGAGGGAGATAATCGAGGTAACCTCACTGTGTGTGTGGCAGCCACTCTTGTTTCGCTCATCATACTAGCTTAGTGGTTTGCTATGGTGAACACATTTGTACATGGGTATATACAATGTGTGTATATAGTGTAATAACAGCAACAGGAGTATGTTGGGAGGAGCTATTTTGGGGAGGGAGGCGACGTAATCCTAGCGTCGTCTGCTGGCTGCTGTGTGATTTCTCGTGAAGAGTATGGTGGCCACTGTAAAAATTGGACAATACCGGCTTACTTGCATAGTTCTGGTGAATATAACATGTAGATAGGTATACATAACTTGTAAATAGTGTAATAAAAACAATAACAGTATGGTGGGAGGAGCAATGTTGGCAAATAATATGTTGGAGGAGAGAGGGAGACTGGCTGGTGTGGCAGCTGACACTCGCAGAGTTCTGAGTGTGTTGATGGTGAATGTACAGTGTGTGATAGTGTATAGTGTGTAAATAGATTGTATATATACATAAATTAGCACTATGCATGGGAAATATGTGCAACATGTGTACACGTGTCATGCACGTAACAGTGTCTTTGGACAGTACGGATGTTCTACTGCCATAATAGTGTGTGTTCATTACACGTTGGCACGAAAAAACAATGTATTTGGAACCGTGCGCAAAAAATGAGCAAAAACATATTCGTGGCAACTGGCTCATCTTGAGCCAGGCGCGCTAGTGGCCCCGGGGGCATACACCACGGGCGACCAGGGATTGATGATGACTTCACGCGCGAACTTACGGACCCCATAGCAGACAAAGTAAGTACAATTTCGACTTTTTGTTAACATATCCAAATTCAGGGAAGGGTTTTCGACAAACAAACAAACAAACAAAAAAAAAAATCCAGAGAATTTATTTCCTGCGCACTGGGGGGTGTCATATATGGAAGCCGAGCAGTTGAGGGGTTAAGGCTAGTTACACACCTAGAGAATATTAGGCATGTAAATAAACACTAACATGGGTTCAGGGAAGGGAAATCATACCTAACAAACCTTCTGGAATTTTATGATAAGGTAACAAGAATAAGGTAGGACATGGAAGGAAGGGCAGATTGCACATTTCTGGACTATCAGAAAGCCTTCGATATAGTACCACATAGGAGACATTCAAACTTAAGAGGCAGGCAGGAGTACAGTAAGTGGAAAATCTAACTTGGGCAAGGAACTGTCCAACAGGAAGGAGCCAGAGAGTAACAGTAAGGGGCAAAAAGTCAGACTGGCAACCAGTCCAAGTGGGGTACCTCAAGGATCGCTCTGGGACCTGTTCTATTTCTAATATACGTAAACGACATACCTACACGAGTAGAATCCTGTATGTTTATATTCGCGGATGACACAAAATTTATGAGAAGAGTTGTGACAGATGAGGATTGTAAGATCCTCCAAGAGGACTTTTAATAGGTTCCAGAGAAGTTCAGAAATGGCTACTGGAGTTCAACATGAGCAAATGTAAAATTATGGAGACAGGATTAGGGACAGTACACAATGAAGGGAAACTATTTACCTGTGATGATTCGGGAAAGACCTGGGAGTGAATGTAACACCTAATCTAACTCCTGAGGCACATATAAATAGGATAATGACAGCAGCATACACTATGCTGGCAAAGGTTATAACATCATTCAGAAACCTAAGTAAGGAGGCATTTAGGGAGCTTTACACTGCCTATGTGACTCCTAAGAGTATGATGCGCCATCATGGAGTCCCCACCTGAAGAAACACACAAGGAAACTGGAAAACGGTCAGAAGTTTGCAACGAGGCTCGTCCCAGAGTTACGAGGGATGGGGGTATAAAGAGCAACTGAAGGGACTGAACCTGATGACACTAGAAAAAAAGGATGGAGCAGGGAGATATGATAGAAACAAAAAATACTTAGGGGGCTTGACAGTGGAAAGAGACAGTATTCAGTGGGAACATTTTAACACAACATGGGGATATGGGTGGAAGATGGAAACGAGTCAGATGTTAGGAAGTTTTCTTTTAGTGAGAGTAGTGTGGAAATGGAACGAACTTGAGGAGCAGGTTGCGAGAGAATAATTGTATTCGTAATTTCAAAACTAGATATGATAGGGATATAGGACAGGAGCCATTGCTTTAAACAACCGGTGGCTAGAAAGGCGGGATCAAAGAGCCAATGCTCAATCTTGCAGGCACAAATTGAAAACACAAATAGGCAAGTACACACACGACCTTACAATATATACCACATCGTCTCTACTAAGGGTGTTCATGATATAGAGCACAGGTAGTGCCACCATGTCGTTGTGCAAGGATTAAGGCACCTGTTTGCGGGTTACCCAGGAGGGGAATGGTCATTTTGATGTTCTCATAGATCACAGCACCTCTACTGCGAGGGAGTTGGGTCTTAATGATACAGATCACAGCATCCCTACTGGGAGAGCGTTGGGTCCTAATGATATAGATCACAGCATCCCTACTGGGAGAGCATTGGGTCCTAATGATATAGATCACAGCATCCCTACTGGGAGAGTTGGGTCCTAATTATATAGATCACAGCATCCCTACTGGGAGAGAGTTGGGTCCTAATGATATAGATCATAGCATCCCTACTGGGAGAGTTGGGTCCTAATGATATAGATCACAGCATCCCTACTGGAGAGTTGGGTCCTAATGATATAGATCACAGCATCCCTACTGGGAGAGAGTTGGGTCCTAATGATATAGATCACAGCATCCCTACTGGGAGAGTTGGGTCCTAATGATATAGATCACAGCATCCCTACTGGGAGAGTTGGGTCCTAATTATATAGATCACAGCATCCCTACTGGGAGAGTTGGGTCCTAATGATATAGATCACAGCATCCCTACTGGAAGGGAGTTGGGTCCTAATGATATAGATCACAGCATCCCTACTGGGAGAGTTGGGACCTAATGATATAGATCACAGCATCCCTACTGGGAGAGAGTTGGGTCCTAATGATATAGATCACAGCATCCCTACTGGGAGAGTTGGGTCCTAATGATATAGATCACAGCATCCCTACTGGGAGAGTTGGGTCCTAATGATATAGATCACAGCATCCCTACTGGGAGAGTTGGGTCCTAATGATATAGATCATAGCATCCCTACTGGGAGAGCGTTGGGTCTTAATGATACAGATCACAGCATCCCTACTGGGAGAGTTGGGTCCTAATGATATAGATCACAGCATCCCTACTGGGAGAGAGTTGGGTCCTAATGATATAGATCATAGCATCCCTACTGGGAGAGCGTTGGGTCCTAATGTTATATAGATCACAGCATCCCTACTGGGAGAGTTGGGACCTAATGATATAGATCACAGCATCCCTACTGGGAGAGTTGGGTCCTAATGATATAGATCACAGCATCCCTACTGGGAGAGTTGGGTCCTAATGATATAGATCACAGCATTCCTACTGGGAGAGTTGGGTCCTAATGATATAGATCACAGCATCCCTACTGGGAGAGAGTTGGGTCCTAATGATATAGATCACAGCATCCCTACTGGGAGAGTTGGGTCCTAATGATATAGATCACAGCATTCCTACTGGGAGAGAGTTGGGTCCTAATTATATAGATCACAGCATCCCTACTGGGAGAGTTGGGTCCTAATGATATAGATCACAGCATCCCTACTGGAAGGGAGTTGGGTCCTAATGATATAGATCACAGCATCCCTACTGGGAGAGTTGGGACCTAATGATATAGATCACAGCATCCCTACTGGAAGGGAGTTGGGTCCTAATGATATAGATCACAGCATCCCTACTGGAAGAGCGTTGGGACCTAATGATATAGATCACAGCATCCCTACTGGGAGAGCGTTGGGTCCTAATGATATAGATCACAGCATCCCTGCTGGGAGAGTTGGGTCCTAATGATATAGATCACAGCATCCCTACTGGAAGAGCGTTGGGACCTAATGATATAGATCACAGCATCCCTACTGGCAGATCCTCACAATATAGACCACAACATCTCTACTGGGCTACTAGGCGGGGGTGGGAAAAGGGGGGGGGGTTGGTGTCCCTTGTGATAGAGCTCCCTTCAACACCATAATCTTACCTTCATCAAGGAACGAATCCCCAAGGGTGCCACCCTGCCTCTTAATGATCTGGATTGCTTCAAGGTTGCCAGAACCTTTAAGTCTTAACACAGCATCAACAGTCAACTGAGCAAAGAATTCCTTGTGTTGAGAAAGGATCTTTGAGCTGAGGGTAGTTTTGGCAATCTGTAAGACAATAACATTTAAATTTTAAGCACTTTTATTACGAATCAACTATCAGATCAAAATATTTATACACTAATACAATGTTTAAAACCCACTTGCCTCTGGTTCAATCAAATATCTTGTAGCAAAGAAGCAATAACATCCTAAACCAATCTGGCTATTGATTACCTCATCCTGCATTTCATACCTTGTGGTGGTTCTGCTCCCTTGGACCAGTCATCTTAGTTAAGGGCTCAGTCATACTGGTGCTTGCCTGTCACAGTCCCACTGAAGAACCCCACCAGTTGATCACGAACCCTTTAGGAGGCAGGTATCAAGTTCCCTACTCAACACTATCACATGATGAAAACTAGATGACACGATGAAAAGCTAGCGAGCTCACTGTACCTCTATGTTTTAATGAGACTATTTTATAGATTTCCACTTGCCTCCAGCTCTCTTTTAGAGATTATTTTAGTGAGCAGATTTGATATTAGTCACTTATTTCCCAGACACAGGCTTACAGCTCTCTTTCCACAGCTCATCTTGAGCCATACACAATCCACCCATTGGCTTGAAAATCAAGTCTCGAATTACGGCTGGTGAACAGCACTGATCAATTATGGATCAATGCCAAGCATCCATCCCTCCCTGTTCAGGGCTTGAACTTGGGCAGATATTGCTCACGAGGTGTGTGGGACAATGGCCCCATTCCTTACACCACAGGGCAAAGCAATATTGTGTTTTAACATGAAGCAGGCAGTTTACAGAAAACAGCTCATATAGATTTGCCTCTTCTTCTGAAACCCAAATGACATAAGTGTTTTCTTTATCTTGAGGTTATCTTGAGATGATTTCGGGGCTTTAGTGTCCCCGCGGCCCGGTCCTCGACCAGGCCTCCACCCCTAGGAAGCAGCCCGTGACAGCTGACTAACTCCCAGGTACCTATTTACTGCTAGGTAACAGGGGCATTCAGGGTGAAAGAAACTTTGCCCATTTGTTTCTGCCTCGTGCGGGAATCGAACCCGCGCCACAGAATTACGAGTCCTGCGCGCTATCCACCAGGCTACGAGGCCCCTTTATACTAATTCTTATATTCCTTTGAATTGTGCTGCCATCGTGATAATGAGCAATAACAGCACTTCCTGCCCTCCCTGTAGCTGTATTGAGTGATCCGTCAGTGTATATGGTCTGTGTTATGTTGTTTCCAGCTTGTATATTGTGAATGTGTTCTATGGTGCTTAATTTAGCAGCAAGCTGAGCATGAGGGTTGTTTGTGATTAGTTTCTTGGTTGGGTATGCAGGGGTCAGGATGTCAAAAGGTACTATCTGCCAGGGTGGAAGGAACTGTACTCTTTCATCTGTATATACATCGTGCAGTCCCATCATTTTAATATGAGTGGCTGTTCTTTGAATCCATTTAGACTCGCTGGTTCCATTTCGTATGTGTTTTAGTACAGTTCAACTGACACAATGTTGTTTTTGTTATCACGCTTTAGTCCCATCATAAGATTGATTTCAAATATTCTATCTCGAATGATAAGTATATTTAATTCTTTCCGCATATTAAGAACTTTGGTAGTTATAGGACAGCCAAGTATAATTCTTAGTGCTTCATTTTACATTTTTCCAGTCTATCAATACCTTTGCCATTTTGCAGGACTAAAGCTGGTGCATGATAGTCTATCAGAGAATAACGTGCTGTCTCAGAAGCCGTAGATATAAAAGAATACTTAGCAAGAGGGTAAATATAAAAATGTTGTGGATTCCTTCTCACATTGGCCTGCAGGAACATGACAAAGTTGACGCCCTTGCTAAGGCTGCAGTAAATACAGACAGTATTGATCGGAATCTTGAGTTATCAAATAGGTCCCTTAAAAGTGTCATTAGACGAGAACTCCTGGATGGATTTAAAGAAAGTAGAACAGTGCAAACTGGAACTAGCAGGTTCATTGTTTATCACAGTGAAATGTGTGAAGTAAAACATGTGTATGGGGCAAGTAACAAAGTCAGTACACTAACAGATGTCACAGCTCGTATAAGACTTGGCTACAAGTATCTCTGGCAGTTCGGCTTGTATAGGGATCTAGATGAAGTAAAGTGTAAAGTGTGTGCACAAAGACAGGGACACACACTCGAACACTATATCTTGGATTGTAGTAAAATTTAGCCATTTAGTGATAAATCTAAGCTCACTCTGTATGATATGGCAACCTATCTTATTACCAAGGATAAAATACCTGAAATCCTTGCACTGTATCCATATTTCGCTTCCAGTAGACAAACGACATATGAAATTAAGAAACAAGTAGTGTATTATGAAGATTAATAATAATCAGCAGCTCCCCAATGACTCTGTAATATCTCCATTGGTCAAACAATTGTGTAGTAGCGATAAGACCTACCATTAATGTATAATTACTTACTGCAAATATATATAGCTCTTGAAATAGAACATTCCCTGTAATTAGCTGACATGTAAGATGTGAAGTATAGATTAAATTTTTTATGTAATAATCTAAGATGGGGTCTGATAAAGACCTTTTGTGCCCTCTGTAATGCTTTTGCGCTACCGCTCACAGGATGAGTATGGGGTGCACAATAAACTAGCCGCCTCCGGCGGCAACAATCAAACGAAACCAGGCCAAAGCGCTCACGATGGGCTGGGCAAGTGTTTTACCACTGTGCCACGGGGATTGCCATTTCTCTGGATTATTTACATGCATATGTGTATAAATGTTTGTGTATGTATGTATACATGTACACACTGCCTAAACCAACTTGTGGATCATCAAGCAAAGTGATTAAGTCTGAACATGTTCAACTATCAACATACAGAATCTTAAAACAACTACAAAAAGCTAATTTTTTCTTATGTTCTTTGAATTCAACTAACCTTTAGTAAATCTTCTCTGAACTTGGCTGGATTGGCAGAGTTATCCTGAGAAGAGTTTGTGAGAGCTTCACGAGCCACGTCTGTGGCCTTGCGGTACCCAGTTATGATGGTCTGTGGATGGATGCGCATCGACACCAACCTCTCTGCTTCTCGCAGCAGCTCAGAAGCCAGAACAACCACGGACGTTGTACCATCTCCCACCTGAAACATTACGTGCATACAACTCATCAACAGGAGGAAGAGGTGGAGGAAGTAGGAAAACAATGAGCAAGACGGATACCAAAAAATGAGTGAAGAGAAGATGAAAATGAAGAAATAGTAGTAGTGAAGAGCATGGAGGAGGAGAAAAAGAGTGAAGAACTACAGAACTGACTAATAAAAGAATGAAGGAAAAAAAGTGGAGGTGTACTGGGGTTGATATCAAAAGGTGTTGGTAACAAGTAATGTTATCCTTCAGCTTATCTTGCCATTGTTAGGCACAATTTATCAGGCACTGTACAACAGAACAGGAATTCTCTTGAAGGAACCCTAAGATGTTAAAAGTTAATCCTAGTGATTTGAAACCTCCCTTTATAGAGTTTAGGCAGACTTATTTTATATTCTGTAATGAGAGAAAATATGAAGGGGACAAATGTATTAAGGAAATAACAGCACTGCAACCACACAGTATTATATATATAGTTAAAAACAGAAGACAACAGCTATAAATTAAACAAGTCTATTTGAAAACATTCGAGTAAAAACTGTTGGAAATTGGTTTGTGGCTTAATAGAACAAAGTGCTGGGTAACATAATTGGCATGGGGGGGGGGAGGTTGCTGGATTGTTTAAAACGAAGCTTAGGCATATACACATGACTAAGTACAGGAGGATACAAATAGGAGCTATTATGTCCTGGAAAATATTCACAATTACTAGTTTCTCACAGTCAGCCATGTCTGTCCATCTTCCAAGCCTTTTCTTCTTCTTAGGAAATCCTTCTCCTAACTCAACATGTTCTTTATTGCATATTCTCGCCTATCTACCATCACTCGTTCAGCTGGCACAAACTAGAAGTGTGCCGGTGGTACTGACCTATTTTGTACTGTTAGCAAAAGTCATTAGACCACAAAATGTGGGATAATAATGAAGGAGACTTTTGCCGATATTCACTGAATTATATACATAAGGAATGAGCAATCTTTGTACTTTTGCGAGTCTGGTGGATGTACGAGTGTTCAATTCAGGAAGAGTCTGCCAAACTGACAGAAAATTATGAGAGTACTAATGAACATTTCTACAATTAATGTAGGAATAACCTATAAATGTAGCCTTACCTCATCATCCTGGGTCTTGCTAATATCTACCAAAATCTTGGCAGCTGGATTATCCACACCAATGTTCCTCAAGATTGTGGCACCATCATTTGTTACTTCGATCTGACCTGTTGAACCATTCATTATTTAGCATTAAATCTTTTACGCCTATACTCACTAATTCATAAATAAGAGCCTACCCCCCCTTCCCCTTTACAAGTACCTATATGATTATGATTGTATAGTTACAAGAAAAGAAGCTATTGTATGTCGTGGTAAAAGAAGCTATTGTATCCGAATGTATTCGTTAGAAAGACGACAGGAGAGATCAAATAATATACAAGTGGAAAATACTGGAGAGCCAGGTCCCAAATCTGCACAGTAAAATAACAATGTATTGGAGTGAACGATATGGAAGAAACTGCAGAACAGAACCAGTGAAGAACAGGGGTGCCATAGGCACAATTAGAAAGAACTGTATAAACATCAGAGGTCCACAGTTGTTCAACATACTCCCAGCAAGCATAAGAAATATTGCCGGAACAACTGTGGACACCTTCAAGAGGAAAGTAGATAGTTTCCTCCAAGGAGTGCCGGACCAACCGGGCTGCGGTGGGTATGTGGGCCTGCGGGCCGCTCCAAGCAACAGCCTAGTGGACCATCCTCTCAAGTCAAGCCTGGCCTCTGGCTGGACTTGGGGAGTAGAAGAACTCCCGGAACCCCATCAACCAGGTATCAACCAGGTGGTGATCCACCTTTATTAGCTTTACGATAATTTAAGAGATTTCCAGTGGTTTCAAACACCATGTCAGAAATTTCCGACACCCCAAATACTAACCCTAGACACAATAAGGTACAATACGTTGAGTCAAGACGCTAACTTTACTAACCATATTAATAATCTAATAATTGAAAGTTTATTAGTTCTAGAACATGCAGAGGGATGGCTGCATCAGCTGTCATATGTTCATGGTGACTATTCTTTTGCCTAACACTTGATAACACTCCGTCTGCAATCTGCTTTCAAATGATGGCTGCTTTCAGATGGCTGTGATTGCCATCTTAGATAGAGTTTAATCAATAACTAGATCGAATTCTTTGATTTCCTCTTTAAAGTAAAATTTCAAACCACCGTGAATAAGTGTTTCATGGAGGAAGAGGAATGCTCATACTGGGAAATCTATCTTAATATAACACTTCCTAAATTACTTAATTCTTTGCGGTAAAACATCAGAAATAGTATAAAACTGTTCAATTGAGGATAATAAAATCACTCATATATTAGCACTTGCCTCCTCTCGTATGTAAATTTACACAGAAAAGAGGTGCCGTAACTATCAGCTGTGAGGGAGGAGGTAAAACGCCGCACACCAGGAACGAGAGTTAGCACACGGCGCTGGTGACAGACGGACGACAGTCCACTTAATCATTGTAAATCTAAATTTAAATAAACAACTGCAAGAAAATTCCCCACACACCACCTAGAGTTTACACCCAGCAGTAAAATGACTAAATACAGTATACGAGTTTTCTGTATACCATCATCTTCCTGTAGTTCACAACTGGGACCTTTCAATCCTAGCTTCAAAACTTCTGTAATTTCGCACATGCACTTACAATATACATGTTTATCGTATCCTAGTTATCCAGTTTGCACTTGTCCGAAACTTATATTCCCTAATGACAACCTGCCAGAACAACCGTGGACATCGAGAGAGAAAACTTGATAGTTTTCTTCAAGAAGTGCCAGACCAACCAGGATGTGGTGGATACGTGTGCCTGCGGGCCGCTTCAAGCAACAGCCTGGTGGACCAAGCTCTCACAAGTCAAGCCTGGCCTCGGGCCGGGCTTGGAGAGTAGAACCCCCCCCCCCCAGAACCCCATCAAGCAGGTATCAAACCCTTATTTTTATAAATTATGTTTAGTTCTTTAAATCACTTTTAAATATTATTTAACTTTTGCTAATTTATACTGTGAGATACCAGATTTAGATACCAGAGCCATAACAAAACTGAAAATGAATAACAAAATATGGTGAACATTTTTAACTTTTCTCTATCTATGTACTTGAAAACTATTTAATTAAATATTCCTATGATTTCTTGTTGTGTCTGTGAATTTGTATTGCGTTCAGACCTGTTTACTCATGAACATACGGAATCTGCAAACGTACATAAACATTTTTAATATCTGTATAACAAATTTTTTATACCTTCACTTCTTCCAATTGCAACAAGAATTTTGTCCATGCCTCTCGGCCCCAGAGTTGAGCGAACCAAGTCCCCAACAGCAATAGCACCAATGAAGGAGGAGAGGCGAGCCGTCTCAGAACGTTCCTCCTCAGCCTCCGCTCTCATAATCTGAACAGGATTAAGTGCCAAAGCCTGAAAAAAAAACAAGAATTACGATTACATTACATTTTAATGTCGTGTCACAATTTGACGCTAATTCTTTAGGTTCTAAAAATTATACCAATATCATTCCAAACCATCAGTAGTGTTCAAAATTATACTAGAAACCGCTTCAGCTCCCTTAACTGCCCATAGCCCCTTAAGGCACTCTCAGGGTTGTGCAGTTTTGACTTAATTAAACCACATTTTCATGTTTTCATCAATCTTTGTTATTTAAAATGAAAATGGTTGAGTTTGGAAACATTGACATTAAAATTAGCTGAACATTTATATAAACAACAAAAATACTGTACGTCCTTAACTGCACCATAAAATTTGCAATAACAGGTGCACACTGCACGAGTTAAGTACCTTCCAAGTCTTCCAAATTAGGTATACAGTACTGCAGTGGGATCACACTTCAATGGCGGTGTGGTCCAGAGTCCATCCATTGCAAATGAAACTCCATTACTGTACACCCAAAACTTGGTATTTTTTAACTATTGTTGCCCAAAAGGATTTAGCAAAACCAGGTCCCCAGCCCCTGGAGAAAACATAGCTAATTTTCTTTTAGCTTTTTGGCACTGCATTCTGGGGCAATCTGCAGGAAATTTTCCATTATTTTTTAATGCCTTCATAACACACACACCAGGAACAAAAATGGCCCCATCTACTTGGACTGGTCAGTATGGAGTTGGTGTTGCTGCTTACAGGTCGGTGATAGAGCCAAAGTGTTTGTGGTGCGAGTGGTTGAGCACAATACTTCACTCTGTCCTCGTATCCATTCCAAGTGCTACAGCCAAACTGGCCAAGCACGTGTGGTTTCAGACATGAGAAGAGTTTGACCTATGTCAAAACTACTCTTTTAGACAAACCAGTTCTGACCAAACCAAACCTAAATAAAATAACATTTATTTTAAGTAATATGCACAGAGCAATGAAAAATCACTTCATTTAAATGCTGGTACAGAGTAGAAATTTGTGGGCTTAAGTTCTTTCCTGATAATTACCTCAAACTACTTCACACATTCCTACCATACAACAGGGCTAAAGTCACACATTCCTACCATACAACAGGGCTAAAGTCACACATTCCTACCATACAACAGGGCTAAAGTCACACATTCCTACCATACAACAGGGCTAAAGCCACACATTCCTACCATACAACAGGGCTAAAGCCACACATTCCTACCATACAACAGGCTAAAGCTACAACAGGGTAAAGCCACACATTCCTACCATACAACAGGGCTAAAGCCACACATTCCTACCATACAACAGGGCTAAAGCCACACATTCCTACCATACAACAGGGCTAAAGTCACACATTCCTACCATACAACAGGGCTAAAGGGGCTAAAGAAGTTATAAACATGTTGGAACTCGGAAACCTACGAACGCTCATTACTCGCCCAGTTCCTGGCCAGACCCAACTGGACAAAGGCACACAGACACCACCCACACTGCCACACTCAACAATAGTGGGTTGGCCCCAGCAATTACAGAAATACAAAAGGCAGGTGTGTAGTGACCCCCATCAAGCCCTCAAGCAAGTTACATACAGTATAGATATAACAAGTAGCTGTGGTTGAGTTTGGCCACAGACATAATTGGCTTCAATCTTGGAATGGTTTGCAATACTACAGCTTACACCGTATGCGTGTTTTTTAGTTCCTTTTATTATGTACAAGTACGATAAGTGGTTTTTAAAAGTGTTACGAGGCAAGCGAGACATTGTGCGAGGCAGGCGTGTCCCTGGTATGGGGTCCACGCCGGCCCGGGAGGCAGGCGTGTCCCTGGTATGGGGTCCACACCGGCCCGGGAGGCAGGCGTGTCCCCTGGTATGGGGTCCACGCCGGCCCGGGAGGCAGGCGTGTCCCTGGTATGGGGTCCACGCCAGCCCGGGAGGCAGGCGTGTCCCTGGTATGGGGTCCGCGCCGGCCCAGGAGGCAGGCGTGTCCCTGGTATGGGGTCCGCGCCGGCCCGGGAGGCAGGTGTGTCAATGGTATGGGGTCCGCGCCGGCCCGGGAGGCAGGCGTGTCCCTGGTATGGGGTCCGCGCCGGCCCGGGAGGCAGGCGTGTCCCTGGTATGGGGTCCACGCCAGCCCGGGAGGCAGGCGTGTCCCTGGTATGGGGTCCGCGCCGGCCCGGGAGGCAGGCGTGTCCCTGGTATGGGGTCCACGCCAGCCCGGGAGGCAGGCGTGTCTCTGGTATGGGGTCCACGCCGGCCCGGGAGGCAGGCGTGTCCCTGGTATGGGGTCCACGCCGGCCCGGGAGGCAGGCGTGTCCCTGGTATGGGGTCCACGCCGGCCCGGGAGGCAGGCGTGTCCCTGGTAAGGGGTCCACGCCGGCCCGGGAGGCAGGCGTGTCCCTGGTATGGGGTCCACGCCGGCCCGGGAGGCAGGCGTGTCCCTGGTATAAGGGGTCCACGCCGGCCCGGGAGGCAGGCGTGTCCCTGGTAAGGGGTCCACGCCGGCCCGGGAGGCAGGCGTGTCCCTGGTATGGGGTCCACACCGGCCCGGGAGGCAGGCGTGTCCCTGGTATGGGGTCCACGCCGGCCCGGGAGGCAGGCGTGTCCCTGGTAAGGGGTCCACGCCGGCCCGGGAGGCAGGCGTGTCCCTGGTATGGGGTCCACGCCGGCCCGGGAGGCAGGCGTGTCCCTGGTATGGGGTCCACGCCGGCCCGGGAGGCAGGCGTGTCCCTGGTATGGGGTCCACGCCGGCCCGGGAGGCAGGCGTGTCCCTGGTATGGGGTCCACGCCGGCCCGGGAGGCAGGCGTGTCCCTGGTATGGGGTCCACGCCGGCCCGGGAGGCAGGCGTGTCCCTGGTATGGGGTCCACGCCGGCCCGGGAGGCAGGCGTGTCCCTGGTATGGGGTCCACGCCGGCCCGGGAGGCAGGCGTGTCCCTGGTATGGGGTCCACGCCGGCCCGGGAGGCAGGCGTGTCCCTGGTATGGGGTCCACGCTGGCCCGGGAGGTGCTACAAGGACTTAACAAAAGGTGGCACCAAGCCGGGAGACATTGTAGGAGCATACTGGAGCTACGGGGGTGGTGTAGTAGTAACTAGAGCCCCGAGGAGCCTTAAGGAGCCCCGAGGGGCCTTAAGGAGCCCCGAGGAGCCCCGAGGAGCCCCGCGTGAGGGAGCACACCCACGCCCTCGGCCACCATGCAGCCTGCCCCAACAACTTCACTTTACACCGACCCTCCGCCATATTCCACCACTTCCCTCCCTCAGGCACCACCTAGACACAACAAATGAGGACCAGAGAGAGCAAGAGACGGGTAGAGAGCGGCCTACCATGGTGCCGGGAGTAATATGTGGCCGGGTGTCGTCGCCTCGCTGCCTCGCTCACAACAAACGCCAAAACATCTCCCTTGAAACAAAAATAATCGTCCACTATGTCCACCATGGCAGGCCGAGGAGGATTACGAGTTGTAAATTTATAATTACCATTATGAGTTGGTGTTGACGACACGTGCTGGTCAAATAAGCTGACAAACTAGACACTTAAATAATGTCTGGAATCTTCAAGAAGGTTCCCAATGTGGAATGATCCGCCCGCGGAGGCGTTCTTCTAGGCTCCAGCGACGTCCTTTTACTATATAAAACATCGGCTTTATTGATACAAACAAAGAATAAATTTTGTTTACAGCATATATTAATTATTTAACATATATTTTAATTAATATATTTATGTTTTTCTTCAAAGGCAGTTGTCAATACTTAATAGTTTACTAAGAGAGCAAAGGCTAAAGAGATGAGAGTTAACTGGTTCTTGGTGTGAGGCCGCCTGAGTCATCCACTTTTATTTTTTTTTATTATACTGAATGTATATACATGCGTCCTTACATTCTTGTAAAGCCACTAGCACGTGCCTTCATCCTAATTTTTCCCCTAATACGACCCTTCAAATCGTTTAACAACCAGGTACCCATTGACGGCTGGGTGAAAACAGTTAAGGATTGGCGCCCGGTCAATCGAACCCAGACCAAAGCGCATGCGAAGCGCCGGTCAAGTGTATTACCTCTGTGCCACGGGGACTGCTGACCTGAGGGATTTATAATTCCTGTATATTGTAGACTGGAAGTACAATTTTCCTATTAAAGGTTTTATGATTAACTTATATTTTCACAAAGCCACTAGCACACATAACACTATAACAGTGTAACTCTTCCTTCATAATAAACAAATTAGCAAACTCTAATATGAAGCATAAGTAGGCCAGTCGTATAAGGTATCATGGTAAAGGGGAAGGAAACTATTAGGAGAGAGCGCCAAGTCATTAAGACTATATAACACTGGGAAGGGATCAGGATAAGGACACGGGAGACATCTCCCGTCACGCAGGGTGCAGTCGCACCTCCACAGATCTCCAGTATCAGCTCTTGATACTGGTAATGGCTCAAAAGGGTCACCACTTACGGGCTATTCATGCCCGTGCCACCTTTTGGCTGGCTTAATCTTCATCAATCAATCATCAGGATAAGGATTTGGGACGGGACAAGAGGGAAAAGGAATGGTGCCCAACCATTTAGACGATCGGGGATTGAACGCCGACCTGCATGCAGCGAGACCGTCGCTCTACCGTCCTGCCCCAGTGGTTGGGGTGTAGGATGACCTATAATGGCCGCGCAGGGACAGCGAGCCTGCACATAGGCGTATATCCAGGTCCCCACTAGGTCTCACCTTTACCAGGGTAGAACCCACAAAAGTTGCCTAGCTAACTGTTCGAATCCTCCTTGTGGCTCCTACTAATTGTGTCATCGATACATCAGGCTAATGTGATTTCATTGTACGTACTATCCTTGTGGGGTACCTATTTATTGCAAAGTGAATAGAGGCATCAGGTTCTTGGAATAGGCCAGACAAAGTGCCGATCCCAAAACCCAAAGATCCAGCTAATCCCAGGCCCATCTCTCTCCAAAGCTGTGCAGCCAAGATGGCTGACAGAATGGCACTCAACAGACTGGAGTGGAAAAATGTCTAAACTGTACCAGGACATGTATGCCTATAGAAGAGGGGCTGGCACAGTGGAATGTATTACAACTCTGTTAGCCCACTTGAATGACAGACCAGGAATGCTGATATTCCTGGACCTCGAAAAAGCCTTTGAACCAGCTATTCTCTGCTGCCTTTTCGACAAAGAGGTCAGAGGCAACCTGCTCTCCTGGACCAAAAACTGTCTCATAAACAGAGAAGCAAGAGTAAAACTTCATGGCACAGTCTCTGAGTACAAAAGACATGAAAATGGTACTCTGCAAGGAGGTATTCTCAGCCCTCTTCTCTTCAACTGTTTAATGGAAAGAATAATGAGGTTGAAACTCCCACATCACTGCAGGCTGCTAAACTACCCGGACGACTTTGTCATCATCATAAAAGGAAGGGATGCGGCGCGCCTTGCACCCAAATGCTTAGACTGCATCAGTAAAGAGGCAAAACAGATTGGGATCAAACTCAACCCCACAGAGGCAAAAGCCATGCCCATAAAGATAGTGAAGCCCAACATCCAACTCACAGTACAGGGTCAACCAATTGAATGGTTGGACACCTATCAGTATCTAGAAATAATCCTGGACACACACATGAATTTGAATGCTAAGGTTACTTACCAGAGAGAACTGCTGCCCGGACGGCAATCCTCAGGTAGCTAACCTCCCTCTCTGGAGGAGCCAATCTGCAAGTCCTTCGCACATACTATGTACGGGCAGTCAGATCAGTGATGGACTATGCCGCACCTGCCCTCACAAGCCTATCACAACAACAGTGGAAAAAACTTGAGGTAGCACAAAACAGTGCTATGAGAGCTGCCCTGGGAGCCCCCATGTGGCCGAGACTTGGAACTCCAAGACTGGAAACGGGTTTGCCCTCTTTTCAAAAAAGAATATCACAAGGAACAGCTACGATTATCAGTAAGATAATTGTTTCCCTCGATCCAGTCCCAGTACCACAGGCCTTGGTGGTTGGACTTTGCCAAAACAACGGAAACTCCTGGGCTGCCGGAGTAGGAGAAGTCCTAAAAGAAACTACAAATAAAAAGCATGATTCTTGATATTGGAGGTGATCATCCACACCCAAGCTACACCTATCCCCCCCGTGGGAGGAGCCTACCTTCAGAATAGTAATAGAAAGTCTCCCAATAAAAAAGGCTGCCTATGATCCAACAATCCTAAAGCGCATCATAGAAAAGCAAATGAGCATCATTGCAGTAGCAGGAGCCACCCACATCTTCACAGACGGATCGGTGGACACAAATATGAGAGTGCTGGCGCCGCTGCTCTTTGCACGGACAGCGAACAGGCATATTGGAGACTGGGAGGACCAATATCATCAACCCAAGCTGAGCTGTTTGGGTATGAATGCCATATCAAGGGGGGGTATTAAATATATAAATGAATGGCATCACTCCACATAATGTCTTGTGCTATTTACACGTACACAACTTTGTTCCTAGATGAAAATGCTGATCTGAAACTGATCCTTGACAGATGTAACAGAACCCATGATCACCACACCAGAAATAAATATTTCTTTGATATCCCCAGAGTCAAACTAATTATGTGCAAACACAATGGAAATAAAGGAACCTAGTCTATGGAACTCACTCCCTTACGAATTAAAAAGCTGTCCATCCTATGCCTAATTAAAAAATAAAACCAAAAGTACCTAATTTCATCCTTATAGACTCCTACCTAGTGCTTCAAACACGCACTATATCTTGAGCTACGCTCTCCCACAATATATCTGCCTAAACCATACAACTTTACTGTAATCACTGCTATCATCTTTTTATCATGGTTATGTTAAACGCAAATTTTACTATAATGTACCTATTAATAGTCCTCAAATTTTGCTTCAATGAACCTACTTATATTTATAAGTTAGAATATTATGTACTCCCACAAACCCAATGTACCTTCTATTATATGCAGTCTCCGTGGTGTAGTGGTAAGACACTCGCCTGGCGTTCCGCGAGCGCTATGTCATGGGTTCGTATCCTGGCCGGGGAGGATTTACTGGGCGCAATTCCTTAACTGTAGCCTCTGTTTAACGCAACAGTAAAATGTGTACTTGGATGAAAAAACAATTCTTCGCGGCAGGGGATCGTATTCCAGGGACCATAGGATTAAGGACTTGCCCGAAACGCTACGCGTACTAGTGGCTGTACAAGAATGTAACAACTCTTGTATATATATATATATATATATATATATATATATATATATATATATATAAATAAAAATATTAATCAAATCCGGGGAGCCTTGTGGGGCAGCCGTGTACACTCACGCGTCGCCTTTTACCACCACCATATTCATTTGTTTGGTTCTCGCGGTGCAGTGGTCAAGCACTCACCTGGCGCTTCGCGAGCACTTTGGCCTGAGTTCGTATCCTGCTGGCCGGGGAGGATTGATTAGGCGCCAATTCTTAACTGTAGCCTCTGTTCACCCAGCAGTGAATGGCTACCTTTATTTATTTATTTATTTATTTATATGCAAAAAGGTACATTGGGTTTATGACAGTACAAAGTATTGATGATTTTATATATGTGTAAAGCCACTAACACGTATAGCGTTTTGGGCAGGTCCTTAATCTAACAGATAACTTGAAGTAGGTAATTTGTAGCAAAATTGGAAGAATGTTAAGAGGTATATTGTAAGAACATTTGAACAAATTAATAGGTGCATTGTAGTAAAATTTGCGTTCAATATAAGAACCATGATATAAGATGATGGCAGTGATTATAATGGTATAGTTGTATGGTATAGGCACATATATTGGGGAAGTGGGGAGTACAGGATACAGTGCCACTCGTTGTTAAATTCAAATGTTTATTCAGGTAAAAGTACATCGATAGAAGATGAGTTACAAACATAATGTTGAATCTATAGATAGAGCTAGTACATACTATGCCTAAAGCCACTAATACGCACAGCGTTTCGGACAAGGTGATTTGATTTGATTTGATTTCAAATGATTTGGCTAGTCGTTTTCCGGGGAAAATTAGGATTGCGGACCTGCCCGATAGGCTGTGTGTTAGTGGCTGTGCAACAACTCTTAGAAACAAAATGAAATAAATACAAAATATTTAATATAGAAGGTCCCCGTAGCACAGTTGGGTTAGTTTTCGACGCATAATCGAAAATTCCGGGTTCGAATCTCTGGCGGGACAGAAATCAAATCAAAATCAAAATCAAATCAAATTTTTATTTATGTAAGGTACATACATACAAGAGATTTTACAAAGAGTGGTGGACTTATAGATAGGGCTAGTACATACAATGCCTAAAGCCACTATTACGCAAAGCGTTTCGGGCAGGAAAAACTTAAATGACTAAAGCTTAATACTAATTGAGCATAAAGAATAAAATGTGTTGAGAACAAATAAAAAAAGAGATAAAAAAGGGGGGAACATGGCTGAAAAAGCAGCACAAATACAATTCGGTCGACAAACAGCGTCATTTAAAAAAAAACATACATGGGTTGACAATAGAGGGATAAGGTAGGTTACAGGGAATTTATTAGGTATAGCTTCGTTTTTATCTTAAACTGGTTGAGAGAGGTACAGTCTTTAACATGGTCGGGAAGGTCATTCCACATTCTGGGTCCCTTGATTTGTAGAGCATTTCTAGTTTGATTAAGTCGTACTCTAGGAATATCAAAATTGTATTTATTTCTGGTGTGGTGCTCATGGGTTCTGTTACAACCTTCTATGAAGCTTTTGAGGTCAGGATTGGCATTACAGTTCAGCGTTTTATATATGTATAATACACATGAGAGAATGAGCAGTGACTTAATGTCTAACATTCAGAGATTTGAGTAGGGGTACCGAGTAATGTCTGGGGCCAGAGTTGGATATTGTCCTAATAGCAGCTTTGTGTTAAGTAATTAGAGGACGTAAATGATTTTGGGTAGTAGAACCCCAAGCACAAATACCATAGTTGAGATATGGATAGATGAGGGAGTAATAGACCGTCACTAGTGCAGGGCGGGGTACATAATATCTGATCTTTGAAAGAATGCCAACAGTTTTTGAAGCTTTTTTTGATATATTTAGAATGTGTCCCTGGAAATTCAGCTTGTGGTCAATGAGAATGCCAAGGAATTTGCCATCTAATTTGTTACAAATTTGGGTATTGTTTATTTTGAGATTTATTTGATTAGAGGATTTATTGCCAAACAGAATATAAAAGGTTTTGTCAATGTTAAGGGTGAGTTTGTTGGGAGTTAGCCAAAGATGGACTTTATTTAGCTCAGTATTTACTGTGGCATTTAGAGCAAGGGGGTCAGGACTGGAGTAAATGAAGGTTGTGTCGTCAGCAAATAGAATTGGTTTGAGGTGTTGGGAGGCATTTGGAAGGTCATTAATGTAGATGAAAAAGAGGAGAGGGCCAAGTATGCTGCCCTAAGGAACACCAATGTTGATGGGTAGGGTGGGAGAAATTGAATTATTCACAGAAACATACTGGAGCCTGTCAGTAAGGTAAGATTTGAGGTATTGCAGGGAGTGACCTCTGACTCCATAATGATGTAATTTAAGAAGAAGGTTTTGGTGGTTGACAGTGTCAAAAGCCTTACGCAGGTCCACAAATAACCCAACAGGGAACTCATTTTTATCAAGAGCTGTATGAATCGAGTTAAGCATACTAATAAGTGCATCGTTAGTGCTTTTTTTGGGTCTGAAGCCATATTGGCAAGGGCTAAGTATATTGAGTTTGGCCAGATATGAGTAAAGCTGCTTGTAGATTAGTTTTTCAAATATTTTTGACAAGTTAGGCAAGATTGATATAGGTTTGTAGTTGGGTTGGGCACATTTCCTTTCATCTAATGCTTCTGTTCACCTAGCAGTCAGTAGGCACTCAGGAGTTAGTCAGCTTGTTGTGGGGTTGCATCCTGGATGGGGTCAGTAATTAGGCCTTGGGGGGGGAGACCTCGATATAAGCCTAACGTGTATGAATACACTCTGGCTTCCTGTCCCTCGACACAATGAATTAAATTATAAGAGTATATATATTACTAAAAATTATATATTACTAATATATATTATATATTACTGTCATATTTTTCATCACGTCTTAATTTTCGTGTTTTACACACATTTTACTAAATATATATATTACTATTATATTAAAATTTATATTACTAAAAGAACGCCCAAGCCGCCGTGAGTATATAATAATTGGAAAAGCTCTTTTGATCATTTCCATTTTAAAATAACCAAAATAAATTATAAAATATTTTAATATAGATATGCAGCAAAATATCATCCGGAGGTCTTTGCTATGATTCAAACCATTTTATGTAATTATTGTAATTATTGTGTTTGCTGCTTTTAGGAAAACAATATGAAATAACTTGAATTACAACATAAGTGCCTTCCATCACTAGGAAACTGTACAAATTAATAAACATCAAGTTATATATTTTTCATCGGCATAAGTATCTTCGAATTGTATAACTGAAAAGTTTTATAATTTCCCTCTGAAAATATACAATAGTTGGCAAGACCCGTGAAGCGGTACGTTTTCTTTGGTGACTAAAATTGACATTTTGGCAACGAAAACGCGGCTAAGTGTAGAGCCGCGGCCGATCATTCTAGACGTGTCCCTCAAGATAAACATAATCTCCTCACGTATCTAGTGCCATTTTCTAGCTTGCAACGTTACCGTGAAGAACAACAAGGTGCAGAGGTCAAGTGTATATCATAAGCACGATGCTTGACAAGTACGATCAGGAGAATGTTGAGGAGTTAGGTCCGGAGGAGAAGAGCGGCGAGAGTAACCCCGAGCAAGGAGGCTATGATGGTCCGGCTGGTATGCAGGTGGACGGTATTATAGAGACCAAGTGGACCGAGGTGGCCACCAGCTTCGATGACATGAACCTCAGAGAGCCGCTCTTGCGAGGTATTTATGCCTATGGGTTCGAGAAGCCTTCAGCTATCCAGCAGCGCGCTATTTTGCCGTGCATTAAGGGTCATGATGTCATCGCCCAAGCTCAGTCTGGCACGGGGAAAACTGCCACCTTCTCCATTTCTATCCTGGAGAGGATTGACCCAAAGTCCAACGACACACAGGCTCTCATCCTGGCCCCCACGCGAGAGCTGGCCCAGCAGATACAGAAGGTGGTGCTGGCTCTGGGCGACTACATGGACGTCAGCTGTCACGCCTGTATCGGCGGCACTAACCTGAGGGAAGATATGCGGCGCCTGGAGAAGGGTGTTCAGATTATCGTCGGCACCCCAGGTAGAGTCTACGACATGATCAACCGTCGAGTCCTCAACCCCAACCACATCATGGTGTTCGTGCTGGACGAGGCCGATGAAATGCTCTCCCGCGGGTTCAAGGACCAGATTTATGACGTGTTCCGGTACCTGCCCGCCGACGTGCAGGTGGTGTTGCTCTCCGCTACCATGCCTCCTGACGTGATGGATGTTACCACCAAGTTCATGCGAGACCCCGTCACCATCTTGGTCCAGAGGGAGGAGCTCACTCTTGAGGGCATCAAGCAGTTCTTCGTTAATGTGGAGAAGGAAGAGTGGAAGCTGGACACCCTCTCTGACCTGTACGAGACCCTGACCATCACTCAGGCGGTGATCTTCTGCAACACCCGCAGGAAGGTGGACTGGCTGACGGACCAGATGCAACACAGGGACTTCACCGTGTCAGCCATGCACGGCGACATGGACCAAAAGGAGCGGGACGTGATCATGCGGGAGTTCCGCTCCGGGTCATCTCGCGTGCTCATCACTACGGACCTGCTGGCGCGAGGTATTGACGTGCAGCAGGTGTCTCTGGTCATCAACTACGATCTGCCCACCAACAGGGAGAGTTACATCCATAGGATAGGTCGAGGTGGACGCTTCGGCCGGAAGGGTGTTGCTATTAACTTCGTGACTGCTGATGACTCGAGAACTCTGATGGATATTGAAGACTACTACCGCACCTCCATTGAAGAGATGCCTATGAATGTAGCCGACTTGATTTAATCAAAGGTATGTTAGTGACATTGAGTCCCCCAGTCAACCAAGGCCACCTATAACGAAGGCAGTAGACCACGTGTTTTATTTATTTTTAATTTATTTATATAAAGAGTTCTTACATTGTTGTACAGCCAATAGCACGCGTAGTTTTTCGGGCAAGTCCTTAATATTAATTTTCACACACAATCCCCAGGAAGCAGCCCGTAGCAGCTGTCAAGCTCCCAGGTACCCCTTTAATGCTAGTTGAACAGTCCGTCATGTGAGGCTTGAGGGCGTGTGGATGGTCATTCTGTTAAGGCTGTGAAATCTTTGATGATCCATTGCAACTGTACTGCATGCCTAAGGTATGGACAAGTGATAAAGATGAATTCTAAGACGTCTTGACGGGTGAGCCCAGTGACCTTAGGCTGCAGTAAATTCTTGTAACCTTTTGTTTTACATTTGTGATGGACAAAAATTATATACCTATATATATATATGTATATTTATATGTACATGTATATGTGTGTGAATAACGAAAATAAACACGTGATGAAAAATTTGAGTGTTAGACCACGAAGGAAGGATTAAGACAGGAATTTCCTTAATTAAATTAAGGAAATTCCTGTCTTAATCCTTCCCTTGTGGCCTCACACACACACACACACACACACATATTATGTATATATAATATATATATATATATATATTATATATACATAAATATATAATATAAATATATATATATATAAATATATAAATATATATATATAAATATATATTGTATAATATAAATATATATGTATAATATATATATATATTATATATATATTATAAATATATATATATATATATATATATATATATATATATATATATATATATATATATATATATATATATATATATATATATATATATATATATATATATATATATATATTATAAGGCTTTGTAACTATGGATATTGTTTATTCAAATTATGAAATGTGAAAGTTAATTACTATTCAATAGTATTTATACTTAAATGACCAAATGTATGCTGACTATTATATAAACAAGTATATTGGAGATATTGTTACCAAATATAAAATTATTTATATTTTTTCAATAAAACTAAACATAAACGTGTATTATTTATCCATATCATATAACATGACAATATTATAATTAAGTACACACAATTATATATATATATATTATATATATATTATATATATATATAATATATATAATATTAGGGGTACCACCTCTGGTGTAATTGGAGGGACGCACATCCTCGAAGAAGAGAACAAAGAGCATTCAGAGAAGATCTTGTGGACTCTCACTGAATACTTTATTCTTTTCTTCTCCTACCACCCCTATTATAATAATAATAATAATAATTTTTATTTAGGTAAGGTACATACATACAATAAATTTTTACAAAGATTGGTTGACTTATAGGTAGAGCTAGTACATACAATGCCTAAAGCCACTATTACGCAAAGCGTTTCGGGCATAAATTTTTGTGTGTTTTATTTTATTGCACTGCTACAGTTTACAGAGAACACACACATATATTAAATATTATGAAATGAAGCTTAAATGAAAATAAAATATCCATGAATGATAAATTAAAAAATATGGCCATTGCAGTGAATGGCAACACCGGGTGGGTGTCGGAGTGCAGTGTTTACGTGTGTGACGTGTGAGTAATATCTAGTATAGCCAGCTATTTATGGTGGCTGCTCTATACTATGCAGTCTTATCGATTCTGGCCAAAAATTTGACTGTGGCCACAGTGTATGTTTATTGATGTATTGCACCACATAACCTTGATAGTCATGATCGAGTGGTATTATATTTTAGGCTAGTTATTTTAAGCGAGCGAACAACCAGTGTTGCCACTGTGTGGGGGTGTTGAGCGTAAGCTGGGCTACCCTGATATTTAGACGGGTTTACTTAGCTTCCATTAACTAGGAACTATTTAGGATAATATCATACTCATCGTGTGAATGTTGAACATTCAATCTATCCTAGCCTAGCATATCCAGACCCAACTTGGGTCAACAGCCTATGAACAAATTTCTGCACTTAACCCTCACGATGTAATGTTGAAATTTACCATTCAAATACATGTTTCATAAAAACAAGAACGACTCTTGTGTTACGAATTTAGAAGAGTTTATGCGTAGTTAAGCAAGACCATCCCCGGGGTGGGGGTGGGGGGACATACTCGTGTAAACATCAAGGTCGCCTGCTTACTATAGTGAAAGTCCTTTCACAAGTTGAGTGAAAGTCACGACAAACATAACCAGGTGTGGTAGATGTCAGTATTGACCCCAGCGTTCATTATGGAGACAGGCAACACCTGTGGGAGGGGTCAATATCACTCACTCACTCGAGCGTATTATGGAGACTGGGGCATTAATAATTTTGTAACTAGCGTCAAAAATTTTTATTTGCTTAGCTAAACGAACTAGAGGGTTCAGTTCCTGAACCGATTATGTGCCTCTGTAATCCTTTACACCACCGCCCACGGGATGGGTATGGGGTGCATAATAAATTGAATTGAATTGGGGGTGGTGTATTCACCTAGTTGTGCTTGCGAGGGTTGAGCTCTGCTCTTTGTGCTCGCTTCTCAACTGTCAATCAATCAACAGTTACTAACTACTGTTTTGTTCCCTTACTCACACTCTCACTCACTCCTGAGGCATATATTTATTTATTTATTTTATTTATATACAAGGTACATTTGGGGTTAACAGAGAATATAGAAATTATGTTGAATTTACATTCTTGTAAAGCCACTAGCACGCATAGCGTTTCGGGCAAGTCCTTAAACTAACAGAAAATTTTAGATGAAATAACAGTAAAATTGATAAATATGTTTACAGGTACTTTATAGCTTTTCTTTACAGGTACAGATAATTTTAAGTAGAATAATTACAGTAAAATTGACAAAAAATTTACAGATACATTGAAGAAATTTTGACAAAAGCAGATTAGAATAATACACAATAATAATGCACAATAAAGAAACAAGGATAACCAGGTACATGAGGATAGCATTCCAGGGTTATACATTGGTTCACTGAAGCACAATATGAGGATCATTTCAAGGACAAGTTTCACGGAATAATGCAGTAGAATATGCACTCAATACAACAACCATGATATCAGATGATATCTAAGATTACAATGGTAAAGTAATATGGCTTAGGTACAAATATTGGGGGATTGAGTAGCACTAGATATAGTGTGAAGATAAAGCACTTGGTAGAAAATTATGAAAACTATATAAATAGGATAACGACAGCAGCGTACTCTACACTGGCAAAAGTTAGAACATCATTCAGAAACCTAAGTGAGAAGGCTTTTAGGGCGCTTTACACTGCCTATGTGAGACCAGTCTTAGAGTATGCCGCGCCATCATGGAGTCCCCACCGGAAGAAACACAAAAGGAAACTGGAAAAGGTTCAAAAGTTTGCGACGAGGCTTGTCCCAGAGTTACGAGGGATGGGATATGAAGAGCGCCTGAAGGAACTGAACCTTACGACACTAGAAAAAAGGGAGAGGGGGGGGGGATAGGATAGGAACGAATAAAATACTCGGGGAATTGACAAAGTGGAAATAGATGAAATGTTCACACGTAATAGTAACAGAACGAGGGGACATGGGTGGAAACTCAGATGAGTCACGGAGATGTTAGGAAGTTTTCTTTTAGCGTGAGAGTAGCGGAAAAATGGAATGCACTTAAGGAGCAGGTTGTGGAAGCAAACTTTATTCATAGTTTTAAAACTAGGTATGATAGGGAAATGGGACAAGAGTCATTGCTGTAAACAACGGAAGGTTGGAAAGGCGGGATCCAAGAGCCGATGCTCGATCCTGCAAGCACAAATAGGTCAGTACACACACACACACACACACACACACACACACACACACACACACACACACACACACACACACACACACACACACACACACACACACACACAAAATATAGGTGTGTGAAGAACTCAACAAGAGGTTCCAGGAGGTCTTCACAACAGAACAAGGTGAGGTCACTGTGCTAGGAGAAAGGGAAGTAAACCAGGCGGCCTTAGAAGGGTTCGAAATTACGAGAGAGGAGGTCAAGAGACACCTGCTGAATCTGGATGTTAGAAAGGCTGTTGGTCCAGACGGGATCTCGCTATGGGTACTGAAAGAGTGTGCAGAGGCACTTTGCTTGCCACTCTCCATAGTGTATACTAGGTCACTGGAGACGGGAGACCTACCAGAAATATGGAAGACGGCGAATGTGGTCCCAGTATACAAAAAATGAGACAGGCAAGAGGCACTGAACTACAGGCCAGTGTCCTTGACTTGTATACCATGCAAGGTGATGGAGAAGATCGTGAGAAAAAACCTGGTATCACATCTGGAGTGAAGGGACTTCGTGACAAATCGCTAACATGGGTTCAGGGAGGGTAAATCTTGCCTGACAGGCTTGATAGAATTCTACGACCAGGTAACAAAGATTAAGCAAGAAAGAGAGGGCTGGGCGGACTGCATTTTCTTGGATTGTCGGAAAGCCTTTGACACAGTACCGCATAAGAGGCTGATACATAAGCTGGAGAGACAGGCTGGTGTAGCTGGTAAGGTGCTCCAGTGAATAAGGGAGTACCAAAGCAATAGGAAGCAGAGAGTTACGGTGAGGGGTGAGACCTCCGATTGGCGTGAAGTCACCAGTGGAGTCCCACAGGGCTCTGTACTCGGTCCTATCTTGTTTCTGATATATGTAAATGATCTCCAGGAGGGTATAGATTCATTTCTCTCAATGTTTGCGGACGATGCCAAAATTATGAGAAGGAAGAGGACAGAAGAGGACTGTTTGAGGCTTCAAGAAGACCTAGACAAGCTGAAGGAATGGTCGAACAAATGGTTGTTAGAATTTAACCCAACCAAATGTAATGTAATGAAGATAGGTGTAGGGAGCAGGAGGCCAGATACAAGGTATCATCTGGGAGAGGAAATTCTTCAGGAGTCAGAGAAGGAAAAAGACTTGGGGGTTGATATCATGCCAGACCTGTCTCCTGCAGCTCATATCAAGAGGATAACATCAGCGGCATATGCCAGGCTGCCCAACATACGAACGGCATTCAGAAACTTGTGTAAAGAGTCATTCAGAACTTTGTATACCACATATGTCAGGCCAATCCTGGAGTATGCAGCCCCAGCATGGAGTCCATATGAAGTCAAGGATAAGACTAAACTGGAAAAGGTTCAAAGGTTTGCCACCAGACTAGTACCCGAGCTGAGAGGTATGAGCTACGAAGAGAGACTACGGGAATTAAACCTCACTTCGTTGGAAGACAGAAGAGTTAGGGGGGACATGATCACCACATTCAAGATTATGAAAGGAATTGATAGGGTAGATAAAGACAGGCTATTTAACACAAGGGGCACACGCACAAGGGGACACAGGTGGAAACTGAGTGCCCAAATGAGCCACAGAGATATTAGAAAGAACTTTTTAGTGTCAGAGTGGTTGACAAATGGAATGCATTAGGAAGTGATGTGGTGGAGGCTGACTCCATACACAGTTTCAAGTGTA